GAACAACATTCGGAAACAAGCGAAACATATACGGAAGTTTTAATCGGAGAATTACATTTCTCACTTAGGATCTAAGAAGTGCATAATGCAATATCTATTGCTTGGGACCTTTATTTTTGTACCACCACCCCTTGAGCGTAATAGAAACATTGATGTAAAATTAGGGAGCAATTCATATCTTTAAAGTGGAAGGAAAAATAGTAAAATTGATGGTGTCGTGCTGCGACGTTAAATTAAACGCTTATTGAGAGGCAACTCAATTAGTAGTGTAACTTCTTATTTTATTTTATTTTTATTTTATTAGTATCACTGTTTTTTCCTTTGGTCTTGTTTTTGCAGATTAGGAAAAGTTTGAGTACCCAAACAAAAATTGAAGCAAAGGAGCATGTTTGAGCTTAAGTGTGGGGTGACAACCCTTGATGAAAATTAAGAGAACATGCTACTAGCTAGGCCTAAAGGCCTCAGGGAGTTTTCCTAACCCTTGTTTTAAATTTTATTTAATGCTTTGGGAACATAGCATATTTTTAAGTGTGGGGTGGAGGAATGAATTTCTAGTTTTTCTGTTTTATTGAGTCTTTTTTTGGTTGGGTTCCTTGGCTTTTGTTTTCGGTTCATTTCCTAAGGATAGTCCCTTTGAACCAAGTGTCTTTTATTTTTTTAGGAATAAGTTTTCTTTTGATTTTTATTTTGAGAAAAAAGAAAAGACTCTTTTGAGTGGTGTGATGCTTGCTATTTAAGCCTAAATTTTTGGTAGTACTTTCTTGTGAATGTTTGATTGATAAGGAAATTGCAGACTCTTTGACACGTAAGTTCATGGTTGTGACTTCGTTTATAGCTTATTTTATTTTCTAGTTTGTTATGATCCTGTGTCTCTTAGAAGTAGAATTGATCCATCTTGATTGATACTTGTGCCATGTGTGGTGAGAATTAGTTTATTCCATGTTTTGCATCTTAGTCTAGAACTTGCCCTGCATGTTATTGAAGCGAAATACAACGTGTTGTCTTGTTTAGGAGATGAAAATAGGCTTTCTTTAACTTGTCTGGTAAATTTTAGCCTTTTCAGATATTATATCACTAGTTAACCCTTTTGAGCCTTTTAGCCTATATTTTTCTTGTAAACCACATGTTCGAGCCGAAACTCTTTTTATTGATACCATAATTCTATTTGATCCAAAAAGAAATCATTAATATACTATGTTGAGAAGAAAAGTTGAAAACATTGGTAGAAGTAAAAAAGGGTGAAAATGCTTGATGTGTGAAGAATGAAGAAAAGTGTGAAAACTCTTCTTACGTTGTGGTCCCTTGTGGATATTGTGCAACTCAACCAAGCTTCAAAACTTAAGTTGAGGGTGGCTAATTCAGAAGTATGCTTAAAACATTGGCCCTGAACCTACCAAGGATATTATGTACCTCACTTGAGCCTCAAAGCCTTGAGTTGAGGATGGCTAGTGCAAAACATCTGAAAAAAATAAATAAAATAAAAATAATTGAAGCATTCTTGAGATGATGAACACAACTTGTGAAATAATTGTTGAAGATAGGGCTGAAAATAAAGAGAGAAAAAATGGGTGTTGAAGTCTAAAATTGCAAAGTGCTTAAGGAAGTGTAAGTCACTATTATATAGTTTTCCTACCCGTCCCCTAGCCTACATTACAACCCGTTAACGTTCTATTTGATTCTATTCAATCATGCTTAATTATTGGAGATGTACAGAATGCGCAAGCCTATGGTTCTTTGTACATACATGTGAATTTTATTTGTGAATGTGAGGGTTGTTCTTGATATGAAGTCCTTAGTTTATGTTCAATCTTTTGAATTGAGTGTGTGGACTATTTCTTTTTGTGAGGGCACTTGTTTCATGATAGATAGGTGATTTTATTAGCTTTCTTTGATGAGTAGGTGAGCAAGCTTAAATTTGATGAGTTCAAAGTCCTTCCTTGAGGTTAGGAGGTTAGAGGTTTGTTGTTTATTTGGATGTCTTGCATAATGATTGAGAAGTCTACTTGTTGTTTTGAAATTGGTATATGGTCTAATTGTTTGTATTAACCAAACTGATGACATTGCTAGTATGATTTTTTTTAATAAGCTTAAATGTTTGCTCGAGGACGAACAAAACTTTAAGAGTGGGGTGTTGATGTGAGACCAAAAATATATATTTTAATTATTATTTACCTCACATTTATTATTTATATTTGTCCTTATTGAGCGTGAATTTTATGAATTGTGTTAAATTGTGTATTTTATTTGTAGGATTAAAATGGTATGGAGATGAAGAAATTTGGAGCACAAATAAATTAAAAACAAGAAATCATAGAAGGAAATCAAGCAGGAACTTAATAGATTAAATAGAATAAAATAATATATTCATGCATATATGAAAATGACGGCTGAAATTGAGCAAAATCAAAATTGATGTTTGCTGTACACGTGGCAGCGGCTGGTGCCCCTCTTAATTGATTGCGGCGGCCGTAACAAAATAAGGCGCACGGTGCAGTTTATTTCTACGCATACAAAACGGAAAACCAAATTTAATTGAGTTTTGATTTCCTAATTTGTCTTGAACTCAATTATTTTATTTAGGGTTTTTATATCTATAAATAGGACATGAAAAATTATTTTTTGGGAACCAAGAACCAAGAACCAAGAAACAATACTCAAAATAAATTTTCTTCTAGCTTAGGAACTTTGAAAGAGTCGTTGTGGAGGCCGGAGAATTGAGGTTTATTATTTTTTCTCCTTTATTATTTATTTGTATTCGTGATTAATAAAAGATAATTTAGCTATTGTTCTGAAATTTTTATGATTAACACAACCATATTTATTTTAATAAATTTTGATTCTGTTTTTGAGATAATGAGTAGCTAAAATTTCATAACTAGGGTTGTGGGAACCATGAGTGATTAATAAAGTATGAATAATAACTAAGTAATTCTTGAATAGTGTTGATGCATGCACTGGTAATTCTTTCGCTTAGAAATACTTTTTAACGTAGTGCACGCGTTAGAACTCGCCTTGTTGCTACTTGCCGGACCAAGGAGGTAGTTAATAAGAAAAGAATTATAAGCAGATATTTAGTGTGATACTATCTAATAGGCTAATGTCAATTGATGCGAGGGTGAAAACTAAGTTATACATTGATGTAATGTGTAATCTAAGGTAAAGGTAAGGGTTAGTAAATTATACACACGTAGCTGGACCAAGGTGCGTGGTGAAATTTCCTATTTGGCGGACCAAACACTTAGGAATACATATCTTACCACTTTGCATGTGATACACTAGGATATGATTACTATTATTAGGGTTACCGCGTTATAAGCTTATGGGGAACACATTTCTAGTTATTTCTAATAATCTGAATATAAATAAATACTTAGTTCAAAGTTATTTTTATTCTTCTTCTTTTTTAATTTAAATCCCCCCATTTTTATGTAACGACTACCGAGTTAAATATTTGCTATTGACAATATTCTTCCATATTCTCTGTAAGATCGACCCCGACTAATAGTTGGGTAAATTTTATTGCATACGACCGTTTATATTTCTTTTCAAGAAATATATTTGGACATTATCAGCAGGTGATGGGAAATGATAGGGTAGAGTTGGCGTCCTACCAATTCAAGGATGTAGCTCATATTTGGTTCACTCAGTGGAAGGAAACCAGGGGTGAGAATACAGCTCCTGCAACTTGGGAGTGTTTTACCGGAGCTTTTCTGGACACGTTCTTCCCAAGAGAGTTGAGGGAGGCTAAGGCTCAAGAATTTATGAATTTGAGACAAGGAAACATGTCAGTCCAAGAGTACGGATTGAAGTTCACCCAACTCTCAAGGTATGCTCCCCATATGGTTGCCGATTCAAGGGCACAAATCAACAAGTTTCTATTTAGGGTATCCGATTTGGTAAAGACATAGTGAAGAAATGCTATGTTGATAGAAGACATGAAAATCTCTAGGCTCATCACTCATGCTCAGCAGGTTGATAGAAGTTACGCTTAGGGAACAGGCTAAGGACAACAAAAAGGCTATGACAAGCAACTATGATTACTCTCAGTAGAATTTGGGTAGTGGAAATCGCTTGCAGTTTAAGCAAAGGTCTTCAACTCTAGAACCTTCATAAGCTAGTGCAACATCCCCCAGGTTTCGACAGGATCAGAAAGGTAGGGCATCATGCTCTAAGTCTCAGGGGAGTCTTTTTAGGTAACAAGACCTACCCAACTTGTCCAAAGTGTGGTAAGAACTATCCGAGCGAATGTCATGCAAAAAAGGAAAGGTGTTTTGGGTGTGGTGAGTCAGTTCACAAGTTGAGAGATTGCCTTTCTTATAAAGAGGGATAGGGAGGTAACACTAAAAGGGCTCAATCTACATCCTTAGCAACTTCGGCTAGTCGCTCTACTCAACAGGGTACTTGAACTAGTACTGGTGGTGGTCAGCGCCAGAACAGGTTGTATGCTCTACAGGCTCGCCAAGACAAGGAAGATTCTCCTTACATGGTCACTGGTACATTAAGAGTTTTTCACTTAGATGTTTATGCTTTGTTAGATCCAGGGGCTACATTTTCCTTTGTAACTCCCTATATAGAAGTAAACTTTAGTGTCAGCCCAGAAACCCTTTCAGATGCCTTTTCAGTCTCTACTCTAGTTGGTGATCCAGTTATAGCTAAACGGGTATATAGAAAGTTTCCTGTCACAGTCTCTCAGAAAGCCACCTCAGCAGATCTTTTAAAGATAGAAAGGGTAGAATTTTATGTAATTCTAGGTATGGATTGGTTACATTTTTGTTATTCCTTACTCGATTGTAGAACTAGGATCGTTCATTTTCAGTTTCCAAGCAAACCAGTCCTGGAATAGAAGGGTAGTAGCTCAGTACATATGAGTCAATTCATTACCTACCTTAAGGCTAGAAAGATGATCTCTAAAGGGTATCTCTATAATCTATTTCGGGTTAACGATTCCAGCTCCGAAACCAAAACTCTTGAGTCATTTCCAATAGTAAATGAGTTCTCAGAAGTGTTTCAAGATGATATTCCTAGACTTCCTCCCGAAAGGGAGATCGATTTCAGAATTGAACTCCTTCCAAATACCCAACCTATTTCTATTCCTCCTTACAGAATGGCTCCAGCTGAGCTTAAGGAATTCAAAGAGCAGTTGAAAGACCTTTTAGATAAGGGCTTTATCAGAACCAATATTTACCCATGGGGTGCACAAACGTTTTTCGTGAAAAAGAAAGATAGTTCTCTCATGATGTGCATTGACTATCGACTGCTGAACAAAGTCACAATCAATAATAAGTACCCTATCCCCACGATTGATGACTTGTTTGACCAACTTTAGGGAGCTAGTCATTTTTTGAAAATAGACCTTAGATCCGATTATCATCAGCTTAGAGTCAGAGGTAGTGACATTCTGAAAACAACCTTCAGAAATTGGTATAGTCATTATGAATTTGTAGTTATGTCATTTGAACTAACCAATGCTTGTGCAACTTTCATGGATTTGATGAACATGGTGTTCAAGCAGTATTTGGACTTGTTTGTTATCAACTTTATTGATGATATCCTCAATACTCTAGGAATTGAGAAGAACATGCAACTCATTTGAGGGTTGTCCTACAAACTCTCAAAGACCGCCAGTTATTCGCTATGTTTAGCAAATGTGAGTTTTGGTTACAATAAGTTGCTTTCCTTGAGAATATCGTATCTAACGAAGGGATCCGAGTAGATTCTCAGAAAATAGAAGCAGTAAAGCAATAGCCTAGACCCACTTCTTCTACAGATATCAGAAGTTTCTTGGGTGTAGCCGGTTATTAGAGAAGGTTTGTGAAAGGATTTTCATCCATAGCTTCTCCATTGACTAAGTTGACTCAAATTTTTTTTAAGTTTTAGTGGTTAGATGAGTATGAGAAGAGCTTCGCAAAACTGAAAACTAGGTTGACTACAACTCTTATTTTGACTCTACCAGAGGGTTTAGAAGGTTTGTGATCTGCTGTGATGCATCCAGAATCGGCCTAGGTTGTGTGTGCAGCGAGGTAAGGTTATAACTTATGCTTCTAGACAGCTTAAGGTGCATGAGAAGAACTATCTAACTCATGACCTCGAGCTTGCAGCCGTAGTATTTTCCCTAAAGATTTGGAGAAACTACTTGTTGGTGTTCACGTAGATGTGTTCACAAACCATAAGAGCCTTCAATACGTGTTCACCCAGAAAGAGTTGAATCTTCACCATAGAAGATGGCTTGAATTCCTCAAGGACTATGATATGAATGTGCTTTACAATCTTAGTTAGGCCAATGAAGTAGCGGATGCTCTTAGTAGACTATCTATGGTAAATGTAACGCATGTTAAGGAAGAAAGAAGGGAATTAGGAAAAGATGTTCACTGTCTTTCTCACTTAGGAATTTGACTTATAAACATATCTGATGATGGTGTGACCGTTCACAATGGATCAGAATCTTCACTGGTGGCGGAGGGTAAGGAAAAACAAGACAGTGATCCGATATTGCTTCAATTTAAGGGTGCAGTTCCTCAGAAGAAAGTTGATATTTTCTCCCAAGGGGAGATGGTGTGCTTCGCTACCAGGGTAGTTTATATGTTTATAAGGTGGGTGAGCTGAGATAGTAGATCCAAAGAAGCCCATAACTCTAGGTATTCTATTCATCTGGGTGCCACTAAGATATACCGCGAACTGCGGGATGTCTTTTAGTTGAATGGCATGAAAAGGGATATATCAGATGTTGTGGCTCAGTGCCCCAATTGTCAATAGGTAAGGTAGAACATCAAACACTAGGAGGTATGACTCAAGAGATCAATATTCCTACATAGAAGTGAGAAGTGATCAACAAGGACTTTAATACAGGTTTACCTCGTATTCACAGGCAGCACAACTCCATTTGGGTAATAGTAGGCAGAGTTTCTAACTCCACTCACTTTTTGGCTATTAGGACAACAAATTTGGCGGAGGACTACGTCAGGCTTTTCATTAATAAGATAGTCGGGCCATGGGTTTCCCTTGTCTATCATATTAGATAGAGGTCCTCATTTTGCCTCTCATTTCGGTAAATTGTTTCAGAAGGGTCTTGGTACCCAAGATAACCTCAGTACAACATTTAATCCATAGACAGATGGTCAGGCAAAGCGTACCATTCATACCTTAGAGGACATGTTGAGAGCTTGTGTGATCGACTTCAAGGGCATTTGGGATGATCGTTTTTCTCTTATAGAGTTTGCCTACAAAAATAGCTACTATTCCAGGATTAAGATGGTCCCTTATGAGGCATTGTATGGGCGTAGGTGCAGATCTCTAATTTGGTTGGTTTTAAGTAGGTGAAGCAACCTTGATAGGGCCATATTGGTTCATAATGCTATGGAAAAAATTTAGCTCATCAGGGATAGACTTAAGATAGCATAGAGTTGTCAGAAGTCCTATGCAAATGTAACGAGAAATGACTTGGAATTCCAAATCGATGATTGGGTATTCCTGAAAGTGTCACCTATGGAGGGGGTGATGAGATTTGGCAAAAATGGGAAGCTTAGTCTAGATATGTAGGCCGTTACAGGATCTTGAAAAGAGTTGGTAGAGTGGCGTATGAGTTAGAATTGCCAGCAGAATTAGTAGCAGTGCATCCAGTCTTTCACATTTCCTTGTTGAAGAAGTGTGTGTGTGATCCAACATCCACAGTACCTTTAGAGAGTGTGGCCATGAAAGATGGCCTCACTTATGAGTAGGTGCTAGTTGAAATTCTTGATTGTCAGGTTCAAAGGTTGAGAAATAAGGAAGTTGCTTCAGTTAAAGTTTTGTGAATGAGTCAGTCAATAGAGGGAGCTACTTGGGAAGCAGAAGAAGCCATGAAAGCAAAATATCCTCATCTCTTTTCGTCCGATTCCGTTTAAGCTTCAGGTAAGAGTTCCCCTCCAGCCTCCCAATTTTCTCTTGCGTAAATTGAGTCTTAGTATCATCTTCTGTCATTTAATCTTGCATTTTCAGTGTATTTGCATGTTCTTGGAACTCAGTTCAGTCATAAATATGTTTCTTATACTTAAAGGTAGGGTTGCAACTCAATACCTATGGGTCAATTCATTTCCTACCTTAAGTCTAGAAAGATGATCTCTAAACGGTATCTCTATCATCTAGTTTGGGTTAAGGATTCCAGCTCCAAAACCCAAACTCTTGAGTCAGTTGCAGTAGTAAATGAGTTCCCAGAAGTCTTTCGAGAAGATCTTCCACGAGTTCCACCCAAAAGGGAGATCGACGTCAGAATTGATCTCCTTCCAGATACCTAGCCTATTTCTATTCCTCATTACAGAATGGCTCCAGCTGAGCTTAAGGAATTCAAAGAGTAGTTGAAAGAGCTTCTAGATAAGGGCTTTATCAGACCCAATATTTCCCCATGAGGTGCACCAATGTTCTTCGTGAAAAAGAAAGATGGTTCTCTCGGGATGTGCATGGACTATCGACAGCTAAACAAAGTCACAATCAATAATATATAAGTACCCTATCCCCACTATTAATTACTTGTTTGACCAACTACAGGGTGCTAGTCATTTTTGGAAAATAGACCTCAGATCCGATTATCAACAGCTCAGAGTCAGAGGTAGTGACATTTTGAAAACAACCTTAAGAACTTGGTATGGTCATTATGAATTTGTAGTTATGTTATTTGGACTAACCAATGCTCTTGCAGCTTTCATGGATTTGATGTACAGGGTGTTCAAGCAGTATTTGGACTTGTTCGTTATCGTCTTTATTGATGATATCCTAATTTACTCTAGGAATTAGGAAGAACATGCGACTCATTTGAGGGTTGTCCTGCAAAATCTCAAAGATCGCCAGTTATTTGCTATATTTAGCAAATATGAGTTTTGGTTACAATCAATTGCTTTCCTTGGGGATATCGTATCTAGCGAAGGGATCCAAGTAGATTCTCAGAAAATAAAGGCAATAAGGCAATGACTGAGACCCACTTCTCCTACAGATATCAGAAGTTTCTAGGGTCTAGCCGGTTATTACAGAAGGTTTGTGGAAGGATTTTCATCCATAGCTTCTCCATTGACTAAGTTGACTCAAAACAAGTTTAAATTTTAGTGGTCGGATAAGTGTGATAAGAGCTTCGAAGAACTAAAAACTAGGTTGACTACAACTCATGTTTTAACTCTACTAGAGGGTTTATATGGTTTTCTGATCTACTCTGATGTATCCTGAGTCGGATAAGTGTGATAAGAGCTCGTGTAAGCTAGATAAAACCTCCCCAGCTAAGGTATCAGACCACAGAGCCCTCCACGGGACGTTATCTTGATGACGGACGTGGGAGGGTCCGTGGACCTGAGCCAGCAGACCACGAGCCCAATTGAAGAACCACATCGACCTTCACGGTCTGTTGTCCTTCACACGGTCCGTGTTAGGGTTCATGGTCGAACCTCCCATAACCAGTAGCTACTGGCCAAGGACCACGATGCACTTGATGGTCCCTGATCCTTGTAACGATCCATCATAGGGCCCGTGGTCAGCCATCATTAGATTTTAAGTAGGGTCATTTTGGTCTTTTGCCCTATATGTTGGACACATAAACTACGTTATTTAACCCTTAAACTAGGCAGTTTTTGTCAGTTTAAGCTCAGTAACTTAGTGAGAACCTACCCTAATCGATCATTCACCAAAATAAAGCAAATCTTA